AAGTCAGCTAAACTCATATCATTGTGGGAAAATTCTACTACCAGTCCTTCATCACCTTACACGAAATATGATGAATACATCTCATTATAAATTCATGAGCTAATGGTTACCACTGAAGCTTGTAAATGATTAACCGGAAGCTGAATTTTTAATTTGTAATGAGGCTCTTGCTTATGCTGTAAAAGGTTGGTTAATGGATGCTTCACTATGCCTACTGCAAGATTCATCAGGTTCATACGTTTGTCTATATTATATAAACGCTATTGATAGCAATATTGACTATCATTAAAGTTGTACCTACTCGGGCCACATATCTGAATAAGGGTTCAATATGAAAAAAACACATCTTTTTGCAGACCAGCAACTCTCTGTAAAGTAGCTTTTCTACATACTGATAGAATAGTAAATAACTACACATGCATATATTCGTGTCTTGGCATAGTTGCGTACTTCATAGGGCCTCGAATTTCAGATTACTTACCAAATACAATAGAAGACAAAACCAAAGAAAAATCAAACTCAAAATTGGCATGGGTGCATCTCATTAAGAATGTAGTCATTAGAAATTATAAGATAAAAATGGACAAAGAAAGTGTATATGGTGGAAAGAGTGATTGAAAGAGTTAGTTAAGGTCGTAAATTATTAGAAAGGTGAGAACAAATACAATCTTGAATTAAAAGAGCCAAGGCGGTCTACACGAATAAAGGGCATCGAGAATTGTTGCCAACGCAAAAGTGGTCAAAATTGATTATACTGCCTGGATTGGCTAGGTACACGTTATTGCAAAGTATCTTGATAGCCAAGATGCTAGTATTTTTTGAGGTAAGTATGACAAAAGTTTCAGTAACGATATCACCAACCGAGTTCAGAATGCATTGGATCCAAGAGAAAAAAGGCGGTAAACGAATCCCAAGTATTCCATGTTCTTTTTCTGACCTGTAGAGAGAGATTATGATGTCAGAGACTTTATATGCTAAGAAGGCCTATTATCCTCAGTTATTAGAATTAAGAAATGTATATGCTAATAAGGCCTATTATCCTCAGTTGTTAGAATTAAGAAAATTTAGGGTGAAATGTGTTTGAGGTTTGTGTGCTGAGATGAGATAGGCTATTGACAGAGTTGATATATAAACCTGGTCGTATGGTTGAAAAGGTTTTGTAGACCAAATAGTGCTGAGGTTGTGCAAGGTTAAGTGGAGAGTTGCAAAGATGATGATGCTGAAAGAGTCGGATGAGGAGTGAGGTGTAAAGTTGGTGTAAAAATAAGGTAAAAGATTTATTGTAGATATTGAGCTACTTGGATAAAAAAATCCAGCTAGGTTAACCAATCTCATCCGGTCTGCCGGACGGCAATATGTGTGTGTGACGCTGAGACAAAAATGAAGTGAATCAGTACTGTAGCCACTAGAAGTAGTGACTCAAAATATCTATCATTAAACTTTCCCTCTTAAATTAAAGACTTATATGTTCTGGCTGTGCTCTCTTCTCTTCGTCTTCCTTACATTTTGGGTAATGGGATTTTCTGTTTGCTTCGTGCTAGGGAACAACAAAGCTTTGTATTATGCCTTACAAATTAGCTCATTTTTACTTAGAGCTTACTGGCATGAATTATTTTTAGGTAATAACTAAGGTTAACATTCGCTTTATACTGGCATATCTTTTATTGCTTTTGAGAAGGCAGGCGGAAGGGATTCGTAATTGACAATGGATATTGAAGGAGGGCTACCTTGGACTTGCGACTGTTAAATTATGTGAAGAAGACCTCGGCTCACCTTCTTGCCACCCTGATGACTCCATGCTCATGTAATAATGTCTATGTGGGGGAGACTTGTCGTCCTATAAGTATGAGGCTATCAGAACACAGAGATCGGAGGTGGTTAAACATATGATCACTACACGACACCAAATGGAGTGGTAAAAAAACACATTTTTCAGGATATGGAGACTTCACAGCTAAGCGGAAGATCAGTGAGTCGATTGAAATTAACAAAATAAATAGCATCCTGGACGAGTATATTAAACTAAGTAAGAATTATTTATGGTTTCTGGATGGGATTAGACAAAGAAAAAGAGAAAGAATGAGAGGGAGTGATCAGGAAGAGCCAGTAAGTGGAGAAGACTTGACTAGCTTGGAGTCTGGTTTGGGACCCAAAATCGCCAGCTAACTCTTGATCATGGCATACACACAACGCACACGAATTAACAAAGGTATGACAAGCCTCAGAACTACAGGATTATGCGGAAGCATATTTACATAAATCAAGTTGTGACTACACCCGCTTCTCTTCCTGCATCAACTTCACTCGCATACATTTATGTAGGAAAAGCATAAAGCAGCTGACTAAATCATGGAATGAGTTATAAGAAGTAGAATCTCAGCCGGCCACATTTCTTGGTTTCGTGTGTCTTGGTGATTGTTCGTAAATAATGGTTTCTGGTTGTGG